AAAAATAAAAAAGTCGATATTAAGAAAAAAATTGTAAATGGAAGATTATAAGAGAGGGTTTCGCCTGCCAGCAAAAGTTACTGGCGTGCCATGTTTGGCACGCGTGCCAGGGGTTGCCCACCCCTGTTCTAGTACTTTAGTAACATGGGTAGGTAAACTGTCAGAACTTGAATAGAGATTCCTGGGCAGTCTTGGGGTTCCTGAAGGGGATGGAATAGAGCAGTGATGGCAAACCTTTTGAGCTCGGCGTGTCAGCATTTTGAAAAACCCTAACTTAACTCTGGTGCCGTGTCACATATAGAAATTTTTTGATATTTGCAACCATAGTAAAACAAAGACTTATATTTTTGATATTTATTTTATATATTTAAATGCCATTTAACAAAGAAAAATCAACCAAAAAAATGAGTTCGCGTGTCACCTCTGACACGCGTGTCATAGGTTCGCCATCACTGGAATAGAGCCTGGTACTGAATTACTAAATTCCAATTTGAAGGCAAAAAGAAAGTCTTAGTTAGCCAGCAAGCGACCAGAGTGCACAGCTGGAGTGAGGCAAACAATAGATCCCCCCTCTGTCCTGCAGAGTAGCTCAGAGGAAGGGAGAATGCCTTTGTGATTCTCGTACATAGATAATTTGGCTTTGGCCGGGGTTACAGAATTTTTGACTTTGTGTCCTAATGCTAGACTACAAATGCTCTAGCCCAGTGGTTCTCAACCTTCCTAATGCCACGACCCTTTAATACAGTTCCTCATGTTGTGGTGACCCCCAATTTCATTGTTACAAATTGAACATAATTAAAGCATAGTGATTAATCACAAAAACAATATGTAATTATATATGTGTTTTCCGATGGCCTTAGGCGACCCCTGTGAAAGGCTCGTTTGACCCCCAAAGGGGTCGCGACCCACAGGTTGAGAACCACTGCTCTAGCCAATAGATGATTAGACTGTCCTCTGTTCATCTTCATTGCAGTGGTTTATTATCACTCAGGTGTGAAGATATCCTGCAGGCGAGGTGTCATCAGCCAGTTGGAGACTGGTGGCTCTTTTCTTATTTCTGAAGTGGGAGGATGGGTAGGAAGGGACTCGAATGCTGGAGACTCCATTGCTTCCTACATTGGCCACTAACTGTGCTTTGAGAAGACTCCACAAATCTAAAGGAACTTAGAACCTCGGAGCCGGGCTGGCTAATCTAGGTTACCAGTGAATTTGTTTCTTACACTTTGGGGGCTTTTGGACAAACTGCTGAAAAGCAGGCCAGCAGATGCCACTTGGAGTGTGGGTATTTGCGTGGCATTGGAGGTCTGAAGTTCCTCGGGCTCTGCTGCTATTGTGGTAGCTGTGCCACGGTGTGGACAGCTCACTGCACACTGGCTGCCACCAGTTGGTGTGAGGGGAGAGGGGTTACTCAGATGGAAACCATGGTAATTACACGTTAACCCCCCTGTCCCCAGCTCTTGATAACTTACACTGGCCTTTTGTGTCTGTTTACAGATGTTGATACCAGTGAACCTGGTCAATTCTTCCTGCATATCCTGAAGCTGCTGCACAGTAGAACTGGATTTTAATTGAGTTAGTGCCTTTGAATTCAAATCAAGTTTCACTAGTTCTGTGTCTGTTTTTCTAGGTAATGGAGGGTCTTATTTCTTTTGGGGAACAAGGAGATTACCACCACACCGACCATTTAACTAACGAATGACTAAAAAGTAGAATTTAACATTAATTTAATGAAATAACAAGAGAAAAAGTTGGAAGTGGCTCAAACTCTAATTCTTGGAAGTTGTGATGTTGAAAGTAGAAAATGGGAGGGGCAAAGTGCCAAATCATCTTTAAAATGTTGCGAATGAGACCTTACTGCAATCCCATACATCAGAGTAGGTAAGCTCAGTAAGTCAGTCTTGAGTGATGATTTGCTTTTGTTGTGGCAGAACAAGCCACCTACGGCCAGCACCCCACTCACCTGACTGCAGGGCCGTGGCAGGCCGGGAGCTGATGACTCCCCTGATGTCCTGAGGGCTGGGTCTGCTCTGGATGTCCTGTGAGCTGGGCTGGATTGTTGGGTTTGGGCTGGGTTGCAGCATGGAAGCCTGGGTTGCAGTTTGGGGAAGCCTCTTCCATTTCCTGTTCTGCCCTGCTCTGCTGGAGGGCTCAGCCCCAGGACCTGGAGACTGGAAATCATTCTGTCACTGAGGCCTGTAGATGGCGACCAGATGTGATGACGACTGACAAGGATCTTATAGCAACACTGCACAGGGTAGGACTTCTCATTTTTGAAGATGTTTAGCACTTTTTTGTAGCCACTGCCCCAATCTTTCCTCAGTCTAGGAGACTGTCAGAAAGACTTGCCTCCTTATCCATTCTCTCAAGACAGCAACGTGTAGGTATAGCTTTTAGCTCTTGTTGGTTGGTGAAGGGTTTCCAGCCGTGGGCAAACTACGGCCCGTGGGCCGGATCCGGCCCGTTTGAAATGAATAAAACTAAAAAAAAAAAAAAGACCATACCCTTTTATGTAATGATGTTTACTTTGAATTTATATTAGTTCACACAAACACTCCATCCATGCTTTTGTTCCGGCCCTCCGGTCCAGTTTAAGAACCCATTGTGGCCCTCGAGTCAAAAAGTTTGCCCACCCCTGGTTTAGACTCTGCAGTGTTCGCCTAAAGTGGGTTGGTGTGTGACCCATAATTTTGATTCTGAACAAGACTGAAGTATAATGAATGCAGTTAACACCTCTCCTTCCAGTTTAGGAAGAAGCAGAGAAAGACCCTCCAAGAATCTTAGAATATATCTAGTGTGTTATTTTTTCAAACTGGGCTATGGGGACCCCTCTCAGGGGTCATTGCTAGAGTATGTAGGGAAAGGGGGCTTGATGTCTTCCTTCCATTACATCACATTTTGCTTTACTCTGTGAAAGTTACTTTATATTCTGTTATAGTGGTTTTTCCCTTAAGATGTCAGTATTTTGAGACTGAAAACAGGTTGAAAGCATTGATTTAACACATTGCATACCGCATAGAAATCTCTAAGACATACGCCAGGGACCACACGTTTTTGGGCAAACTGCACGTTATTTAAATCATCATAATGCACTTTAGGTGTTGTTTTTCAATAATTATAACATTTTTATTTACAAAAACAATTAAACAATTAAAGTTCCTAGTACTTTTTTAACGTATGGTACTGCGTAAAACATTTTCCTCTATGAAGAGGGACCAAACAAAATTTACATAAGTATCTAGATTCGCTCCTTTTTCCATGGGCGTGAAAAAAGAGAACACTCGTGAGCGGTCCTTAACAGATGGCGTGCGAAACACGAGAAAACTCCTGAGCGGTACGAAATGTGTTAATAGGGAAATGGAAATCTAGAAAGGTTAGTAAACTTGCTTTTTAAGTTGCACAACAAGAAACTGGCAGCCACAGGACTAGAATCGGGCCCCTGCGTTACTTGGCTTCTCATTTACGCTGCTTCGCCCACATCGCTGCTGGCACTCAGTTTGAGTTTGATTGAACCCTTGGGGTTGGCCTGTAATCGTGGTTCTTTACGCTAACGTTTTGTCACAAACTACTGTTCTTTTGGAGAAGACTCCCTGCACCGCCTCCAGCCTGTGCCACGTGAGGCTGTCAGGGTGGTGAGACTGGCCAGCAGCTGGCCTTCCTCGCCAGGCCCTGGCTGAAAGGGACAGGGGACTTCAAATAGGAGTTGAGTCTTTATCAGTCCAACTTCTGCAGCTATCCTGGCGGGGCTTGCTGTGCAGAATACCTTTGCAAAATGCCAAGTTGAATACTTCCTCTTCCAGTGATCTTCCCTGGAATCTGAGCAGGGAAACCCTGTGGAAATAACTCCAATGGCCACCTCCTTTTTTAAAATCTGAAGCAAATTTATTTTCCGTTGAATACTTGCTTTGTCTCTACTTAATGACTGCCTAGTGCAGGGGTGGGCAAACTTTTTGACTCGAGGGCCACAATGGGTTCTTAAACTGGACCGGAGGGCCGGAACAAAAGCATGGATGGAGTGTTTGTGTGAACTAATATAAATTCAAAGTAAACATCATTACATAAAAGGGTACGGTCTTTTTTTTTTTTTTTTAGTTTTATTCATTTCCAACGCCCGCGGGCCGTAGTTTGCCCACGGCTGGCCTAGTGGCTGCTCTGTAGACAGGAGGTGAAGGCTGGGAATGCCACTGCGTCCGAGTCGCAGGATCAGGACATGCTAGGAGCCCGGATCCTCAGTGGAGGCATTTCCCAGCTTCGACACTTTCTTTTTCTAGATGAGTGGAATGCAAGAGTGACTATTCTTTGTCTATTTTAAAGAATATTTCTATGGTTCTTTTTTCTCCTAATCAGTTTTTCTTTGAAATAACTAGTCCCTTGTCTAGTCATTTACTTGAAACAGTTGGTTGTAACTGATGCCTGTGGTAAGGAGAATTTTGCTGTGGGTTTCCTAACACTGAACGAGAATAGTCTGAAGACCTTTCTAGAGGCTGTGAGTAGGGGGTTCTGTGGGGAGGAGGAGGTGTTGTGGACTGGAATAGGGTGAAGAGCACTGCCCGGGGCCCAGCGGGAAGTGGATGGAGAGTGCTCACAGTGGCCCCTGCTGCGGGGAGAGTGATGGGGAAGGAGTAGGCCCAGAAGGTGGCCCAGCGCGGGAATACCTTTTGAGGAGGGAGCTGCGGGCCTGTGGTGCTGGGTAATCAGGGCCCTGACCGCAGCTGCTCTTCTGGGCCTGGAGTTTGTGTTCCTGATGGGGAGGGATGCCTGCAGGACACAGAGGCTGTTTTAACCAGATTGGTCACTAAGATCAGCTTATGGAGTACTGGCCTAACTCTTTAGAGATCTGTCTCCTTTGACTTGATTTTTGACAGAAGTTAGTAAGCGAGGGTAAGTCATATCCCTGGTCCATTCGAGTTTGAGTCAGTCCGTTCATATTTGCCTCAGTTCATGCTCAGGTCGTGTCTTGTCATCTCATAATGCCTGCTATCCACAGGGAACAGTTACATGTAAACTGTTGAGGTGGCACACGATTCTCTCAGGAGAGCTATAATAAATGTGAAATAAATCACAGCTAAAATGATCAACTAAACAAAACCCATATTAACTTCACACTTCTACAACATCCCATGTTCTCTTTAGCAGGCGAAATTAGTTCTTTGGTCTTCTTTTAAAAGAAACGTTATTTTAACAGGTAATGTGGATATGTCCATCAGGCCAGAGTTCTGCAAGTGCCGAAACTGGCATGCAGGGCTCTGAATCAGTGAGAGTGGTAAACCTAACGATTAAACCAAGCAGGGAAGTGACTTCTAAGGCATTGGTTAAGTTGGTTTTAATGTGGACCTCTTTCTTTGAGGTTATTAACTATGTCATTCCAACAATTCTCTGACACAGCTGAGTGTCCAGTAATTCAGTTCAGTTCAGTTCTGACATGAACTGCCTAGAGTTAGTGCTGACACCACAAGTTAATGACTCAGTCTCACAGGGTTGCCCCACTTCAGAGACAAGCCAGGATTGGGGAGCCCCAAGCTACCTGCACTACTGCCTGCAGACTGCAAGGTTCCCGTGACCCCCCCACCCCCACCCCAGGGGGTGTGGGCATAATTTGCCAGAACATGTGTTACAACTCAGGACAGCATGATATGCAGGATTACAGCTTCATTCTCAAGTATACAACTTGGGAGCAGCCAAATGGGAGAGATGCGCAGGGCAGGGTAGGGATTGTGGGCACAGAGCTTCCGGGTCACTTTTGGGCATGCTGGCCTCCCAGCACCTGGATGGTTCACCGGCCCTAAAGCTCCCTAGCCTTGTTCAGCTTCATTGAGTTCCTGTATGAAGGCATAGTTGATTAATTCATTGGCAACTGGTTATTGAACTCCAGCCACCTTTCCCTCCCCTGTGGTCTGGAGGTGGCACTGAAAGTTTCTACCTTTTAATCCTGTGCCTGCTCCTTCTGGTGTGGCCAGCCCCTCTCTGAAACTAAGGGCCCACCACCCTGAGTCACATGTTAGCAGCAGCTCCATGTGGTCCTGATGGATAACAAAAGGCACTCCTATGAGTAAGAAGGTCCAAGGATTTTAGGAGCTTTAACTGAAACTGGGGACAAAGACCAAATATATATGTGTGTATATATATAAATCTTTTTTTATATATGAAAAAGAAATCCTCACCCAAGGACATGGAGAGAGAGAGAGAGAGAGAGAGAGAGAGAGAGAGATGAGATAGAGAATGAATGAGAGAGAGAGAAAGAGATGAGATAGAAGCATCCATTGGCTGCCTTCCTGGAGATCAAACCCAAAACCCAGGTGTGTGCCCTGATTGGGAATTGAACTAGCAACCTTTAGGTGCACAAAACACCGCTCAACCAACAGCTACTCACTCTCTAGACCTCCATGATGCAAGAATGAGCTCACTTAGTAAGAAATTGAGTATACAGAATTCATGCTTCTTTTCAGTGTGACTTTGAAGAGTCGAGTGTATGTAGGGCATCGGTTAAGAGCGTCGGACTGCAGTCAGTCTGGGTTTGAGTCTGAACCCTACCACCTACTTACCACTTAGCAGAGGGTAAGCCTCTATTCCTTTCA